TCTTCAACAGATTTGACTGAAATATATCAAAATGGATCTAAACTAAAAATCAAATTGTTTCTGAAGTTATAACACTTCAACCGAAAACAGAAAGATGAAGATTTTCATCTATTTCTACTGTCTATTGAAGAAGCCTTCTAACAATTATTTGAACAAAAGTTTCAAGCAGTACTAATGACAAAGTTGGTTTCCCTTGATATATGAAGAAACGCTCCAAAATGTTATGAACTTTCGTAATGTTAAGTGTTTTTAGTTCAGTATCTAGTAGATCATTTACACTAGCGTAGTTTATCCGCAAGTGTTTGGCACTGCTCCTGCCATTTGTACTCCTGATCATAGAAATCTCGCAGAACGCCAGCTCCCTTCAGACGTACGTCCCTTGATTTCTTTCTGGCCTGCTTGATGGCTCTTCCCCATTCATTGGGTTCGTCGGATTCCACCACAAAAGACATACCAGAAGGAATCTTTTCTAGAGCTTGTCCAAATCCACTGTTACCACTCACCAGGATTGGAAGCCCGGCAGAGAGGGCTTCGAGAGCTGCAAGGCCGAACCCTTCTGTTCGTGATGGCATTATGGCCAGATCAGCTTCACTGAAGAGGTCGGCCAGACTTTCACGGCTTTCTCGATAACTGCGCACTGTCAGCTGCCTAGGGGAGATTCCACATTCAAGTAAGCTCTTTTCTACTACCTCTTGCTTTCCTTCTGGTGCGCCAACTAACACAAGATGATAAGAAGGGTCGTTTAAGCCTGCTATAGCGCGAGCGGCAATGTCGTGCCCTTTCAGGTAAAAATCTTCATCGTTACCACGACCAAATACCAATGTGCAAAACTTCTCTCTCTCTTCAGGGGCTTGCTCTAGTTCGGAGAACTCTGGAAAAATGCCTGGCGTAAGGTTTATCACGTCTTTTTCCTTCATGTGTGATCGAAGGCTGCTTTTAATGGACTCAGTAAGTTTTGGTCCTATACCCACAATAACATCAGCAGTCTTGCTCAGGTCTACCTCGAGTTTGTGCTTCTTTTCGCCTTCCGAGATCGTCTCCTGCTGACCTTTCTTGAACATTGCGAGTTCTTCACTTGCGGTGTGCACAACGTGCACTCGTTTGCATCCCCGATTCTTTGCTATGAATTGTGCTGGCGGTCCAAACTTGTGTCCATGACCCATTACCACGTTGAATTTACATTCTTTGGGTGGAAAAGCTAATGAATGGACAGGACTAACACCAGGCATTGTTTCGACCTTAGTAAGGTTAACTTTATATTTTGAAGCTTCTTTCTTTTCCTCTTCAGTGTATTCTGGCACAATCAAGTTGACCGATACATTACGCAGTTGAGCCAGCCCTTTGCACATCTCCCTGTTTAGAGTAGATAGTCCACCTTTCGATGAGCCCCACTTATCCGCCAAAGCGGAAATTCTTAAAGCCTGTTACAAATGAAAACGGTGGGATGAAAAGAATTTCATTCTTTGTTCAAAATAAGAATGTAAGAATATGAAAAATTGACAATCCTTTTCCTCCTTTTGAGTAATGGGGCCAAATAATTTGAAAGTAGCTTCTCCAAATTGTCACTGATGGGTAGAAAGTCTTTTCCCGTTGAAAATTTTCCCCTTACCGCCCTTGCGAGTTTGCCCCTTGAAGTGAAGCGAGTTCGCACCTAACTTAACCAGTTCGCCCCCAAATATTTCAACTAGTTTCCTAAAGGCAGAACATATTCTTATTTTTTTAAAATCATAAAATATTTCAAACAACACGCAAATAGTTTTTCTGAGGCAAGCACTTGAGTACGAAAGTATGGTAAGTCGCTATGAAACGCTGGGTGCGACGAAACGCGAGTGCGAGTATCAAAATACATACGTTGGTCATTACAGGAGTTTTCACTGGGTAATAACTTAAGTCTTCAATACCCTTAACATAATCATATACCTGTGGCTCGCTGATCCCGGCCGAAATCTCAGTCATTTTCCTTAAACAGTCAGGCAAAGCCCTAGAAATTAAAAAGAAAATACATAAACACAACATTACCTCAAGCTTTTTTATTGACCTCACGGTCAGAAGAAGATGAATACTGAATTGTTTACATACATCGTCAGGCAGGATTTTAAATTAAAATTCCCATCTGCCCTTTAAGTAAATGTGTTTTTTATATGCACACAATGTTAATGATTAAAGCCGATTCTTTAACAGAGCAAGTGGTATAATAAGTGCCAGTCGTAAAGCCCTGCATGAGTACGACTTTGCTTCGTTGTTTTTACTTCAGCTGTTTTAATATTACGATCTTCGTTATTCTGTGGTTCTCGGAAAGCGAGACAAATGGATGAAATTTAAGGGTTTTACCTAAAGTTGTTTAAAATAGTGCACCTGATTTTTGAAAATGCTTGAAAATCTGACATCTCTTTCGCTTTCAGAGATTTAAATATGAAAAGATTTGTTTCAGAAGTTTAAGCCACGCGTGACGGATCTAACCCTTGTTTCCGTTTTATTATTCAAGATTATATGGAGCATGAAAATGCGTGTAAATAATTTCAAACTTTTGGCTACTGCGTCATATATGTACAAGAAATGGTTAAAGCGCCAAGATTGGTATACTTCACGATCATGAACGATTTATGAATCTAGTTGTTGTTCTTCTCTACCTATCCATGAATCAAGTGGATCAAAATATAGCTCCTATCTTAGTGGCACATAGGAGGTCACGTTTGCGCGTTCGCCGATGAAATTGAATTCAGACACATTGTATATGTGATTATACTGCTATGTCAGGATAAATCGTACGGGAGGAACAGGGAAGAAACGAGAAGTGACTCATCGTTCATAGAAAATTTGTAGTTTAGTATTATCAAATGAAACGATAGCTTACGGCCACCGTAAAGAGTTTTTTTTCAAAGCTTTCGTTTCTAACGCTCTGACGAAGGGCTAACACTCGAATCGTCAGTTTTGAAACTCTTTACGGTGGCCAATTTACGTTATCAACTCAGCTGATAGTACTAAAACACCCTGTTTCTTCTCCCACCGACGCAGCACCACGGTTTCTTAAGAAACTAACTCCCTTTAATATTTTGATCGACTTCGCTTTCCCCATTAGGTCTTTCCGTACGCGAAGAATCAATACAGAAACTTAAGGCTGTTTTTCCTAAGGTACGAATCGCTATGGGGAAGATTCAAGTTGCTGATCGTTGATAAGAGGAAAAACGAAAGAAGGAAAAGAACTTACGGACTTTCTTTCGAATTCTTTAACGTCGTAGGCGTCCAGCTCAGAGAAAGAATGAAAGTCTTCTTCTGTAATGGTGCGGACAAGGCGTCAAGTACCACGTGACCTGGCGACATCAAGATGTTTCGTGTAGATAGCTACAACAATAGCTATACGCCCTAGATGGGGGTGAGGAAGGGGAAGAAGAGAGACCCTGGGAACGAGATTGGAACATATTTACTTGTTCATCAATGTTTAGGTGTATTCATTATTATAAACCAGACTTGTAACGCGACAAAGGCGGATGCAAAAGGATTTCAGAATGTAAGTTTGTTTACACACTTAAATTCAAACCACCAATTGGCTGAAATTGGGAAGAAAATATCTTTGAGTCTGAGTTGATACCTGACCTCAAGTTATGTCTGGCTGGTCTTGAGTTCAGCTAAAAACTAAGGCTACGAGTTTAAGGCAGCCAGTAGTCTAGCCTGGTCGTAATTTGCTTTGCTTCTGAGACACGTGTGCGTGCCATGGCTGGATCGCTTCTTCACTATCCGAGTGAGACTGGGGAAAAGTGAACTGATTCAAAATGGCGAACAGAAATCGTATCGATGATGTAAACGAGCATGGTGGATTAAATACTGATTGCTTTCCAGATTGCCAGATTTTTTCTGGTGTAGCTGCTATGTTTCTCTCTCCTTTATATTCCTTTTTTTAAATTTGTTTTTCAATGTTGCAAACACTTACTGGAGGAGCTACTACGCTTTCTGTACAAAGCTCATGTTTGGCTGAAATGGGCAAGACAAATAGTAACACACAACTTTCAAGATGGATAATAAATTATTTAAGTAAAAAATACACAGCACGGCAAACAACTTAGAAACATCGTGAGTTTGAAATGACCACAAACAAAATTCATCGATGAATTTTTGAGAAACAAAGCACCAATGAGACAAAAACATAACAGAAAAAAACGAATTTTCAGGAATCTGAGAGCTCGTGTGAAAGAAGGGACGTAAGAGCTGAGCATATTATTAACTTTTTCGGTGTATTTCTTCTTTAATGTAATCTAAGGCAATAAATATTTACAACCCTGTGCCATTGTAATACATATTTAGTTTGGAAATAAATTTACTATACCTTTCATTTAAATAATCACTTTTATATCTTTATACTTTCTTTAAAAATTTACAGCATGGATTTGAAACTTCAATATGAATAATTATTACACTATGAAAAAATTAAATAAATTAATAAAACCGGATGAACAAAGAAACCTTAACTCTAAACAAAAATTGGATTGTCCTTAACTGAAAACTGAACTCTCCTGATCCGTATTAAAGTAAATAATAAAATTAAAGAAAATAACAACAACACTTGTAAGGCCTTGTCCACACTAGTAACATAAAGACATTCAAGACGTAAGCTTCACGACATAGAAAGCTCATCATGTTGTTATGTTTTCAGTGTGAACGTTCAGACATAGCGCCATATTGGCACCATCGTGACATTGACAAAGCTAAGCAACCTTCTATGATAAAATCTCACAGTTAAATTAATCACATTAATCCTAAGCTAGTCACAAGTAAATTCTCCTTAGAGCAAAAATACACCAAAAAGTGACGAGAAAAGAAAACCTATCCAGCTTGAGGGTTTTTGCGTAGATTCAACAATAAATTCTCCTGCCGAATTTGCGAGAAAATATACAGCAGCTAGACGGGAGAATAACTAATAAGACCGCGAAAATTTCAAGGGGAAAGTCAATGAAGGTGTGCGTCCCGTAAACTGTATAACAAAACTATAAGAAAATTACAAAGTCGAAGGCACATAAACAAGTGCTTCACTGAATTTTCATGTTTGATTTAAGACTGTACAAGCCACTCATAAATAAACCTAGAGAATTGTATGATCACCAATTCATTCGCTTCCTAGTAAAATGTGAGAAAATTTCATTGCGAGACCAGCGCCACTTAGGAAATGGCCGTGCTTCCATTTGAGGCGATTTCTTAGTTTGTACGTCATGTAAGCCCGAATGGATCGTCTTCATCTTCATAAGAAATCTCAGAATTGTTTCCTTGCTTCAAATCTGATTGTGCAAGGTCATAGACCTCCGGGGCCAAAAGCGAACATCACTCCTCGGTCCCTACCTATAACTGCTCCAATGCTGGCTGAGAGGTCCTGTAATACTTAGCCATTCTTGCTCTTAAAGCTTGTTGAGACGTAAGGTCTGGTGTTCTTCGTATAATGTTCGCATGCCTGGAAAGCAGCAAGAACATATTAAAAAAAAAAAACCTTCACCAATATCGAGTACTATTCGTGCTACTTTGGTAAGGAGCCCTACAATACAGACCTACACGTGTAAAATGTGCCTATCAAAGACCTTAACCAGTGCAGACGTTTTTTGCGACGCAGAAGGTGACAAGGATGCAGATGTAATTGCGTTTGTTGCACTTTCACATCAAACAATCAACAGGGATGCCCCTGTGACAGCGTCTTAAACGAAGCGGTTAACAAAACAGATCTGTCTACAACAAAGGTTGAGCAGATGAACTCCTTAACTCAGTTTTGTTTGAAAAACGATTGCGATCAAGCACCTTATTGAAAATAAAATTTAAAAAAATAGTCTATTTGGAGGGTTGCACAGTCCAAGAATCATTTAAACGCAAGCAGCAGACCTGTTTCTAAAGTTTTTTATTATCGATATCTCAGGAAATCACGAAGAAAAAGGCCAGGGGTGTCACTATTACGAACACGCTTTACTTCGATTTGATTGAATTTCCTTTTGCTACACGCTATTTCCAGGAATTTAGCTACATTCACTTACCTCAATTCAGAATCTTGAAGTGTTGTCCCTTGAGACACATTTGAAGCAACGCCTGCAACTTTAGCGTCAGCGGCAAACTGATACACAATTAGCAAGCAGTCTCGACAAAGCTGGACAATTCGACGACAGCAGCTCATCTCAGTCTGGAAGTAGACCAGAACAAATCGATAAACAAGTCGATAAACAGTCGTCTCTTTCCCATCTTCGAGAATTACCCGAGCTCAAAAAAGTTGTTATGAAACATTACAGTAAACAGCCTCCTCAGGTTACTTCCTTTGCGTAACTTTCTTTGCCATCAAAATTACTAGAATTCTTTCTCGTTATCATACCTACAGCACCTCATACAAACCTGTGTTTGGAACAAAAACTCAAACTAAATCTCATCTTTTTCTCCCTGATAGAACGATAAACTATTCCCAACTGGGGGTAAAGTTTTCTAATTACAAAAATTCAAATATTAAAGTTATATTCAAATAAGTTACGAATGATTTCAATACTTATACATGAAATTCTTTCAATCTACACACCGAAGATAGCACCTCTGTACTCTTGCTAAAAATTGTCTCCCAAGAGTTTCTACAAATGACAACAAAATAACAAAATTAAAAGCGTGATTACGCAAAATAAAATCCTGACAATAGGTATGACACTGATGATAAACTAATGCAAGACAAACGTACCCCAAGTTTGAAAAGCAGTTCCATAATCCCTGTCCATGACTCCACAACAATCTGTTAAATACTCTAGAGAAAACGCGGCAGAGGCGCAAGTTATCAACTTCAGATGCTCGCCAGACGCGTTGTAAAATTGCGCGAACGTTTGTTCGCACAATGTCCACAACCTGTTACAGAAACACAATGACAAAGACAAGATAATTCTCAATTAGATAATGAGTTTGAGATTTATGTCGCGTGATAGTCTATGTTGACAAAGCCCGAATCAACCTTCACGCAGGAAAATCGAGAAAGAACAATCTAAGTTTTTGTTGTGCCTACTGTACCTTCCCTCTATGTACGAAGTATTGAAATAAATTTGATTCACATTTAATACATGTACCGATTACATCGATTTCTTGCTCTGTCCCTTGCCTGAAAATTGGCCAGTGTACAAACTCTGTTCTGATCAAGTCCCCCTTTCGCCACAACTTCGGCATCAACAAGAGTTGTTTATTAAACCCTCTGCATGTTACAGTACATTGTCTTTTGACTGCAGTACTCTACAACTACACAACAGTAGGCACATGCAGTCTTACACTGCCTTTAGTATAGTTTGTTTACAAACGCACGTTGACAGGCTACAGTCACGTTGATAGGCTACTGTTACAGAATAGATGGCGAGTAGCGAGGCCAATCAGAATGCAGCGTTTGTAATGGGACACTTGCTGATTTGTACCCTACGCTTTTGTTAACCATGGAGTAAAGCGGCCCGAAAGAGCGCTCGCAGACTAGGCAACAGGCCTCTTAGCTCCTTACCTTTCTCCGCTTTATCGAGTCGAGCTTCACCAACCAATAGGAAGCCACTCTCGGCTTGTGAAATTTCCAATTATCCTGGATCTAAAAAAATTACGTAGAATGTTATTGGTCGACTGAGCACGCAGTTGTGCTGCGGTGGTCACTAGAGATGTTGCTACGTAACACACACATTCTAATGAATCCTGTGATGACGATCAACCACGAATTCTGTTCAGACAGGTTAAATAGAGGGAAATAGCAACAGTCTTTCATGGCGAATAATCTAATACTCGGATACATAAGTTCACCACTTACACTTTCTAAAATGACTTCTGCTTCCTCGTCTGTTTTTCCTGGAAATTTAATCCTCATGTCAAGCAAAGCCTGCAGTGTTCGCCGGCATAATTCTTCTTCTCTCTCCCGGACAGCGGCATCCAAAAAAGCAGCGTCCTAAGCAAAAGGAGTGATTATGTATTTTATTATATATGAATAACACATTAGCCTCCCCAACCAAACCTTGGCGAACCACGAGACAAAAACCAAATACTCGTGTTAAAGTAAAAATCCCAGCTCAGGCCAATAAGAGACAAATGTGGACACTCACCACCACGGGATTGAATTTCATTGGAGGAGATGAAGACGACGTCACGATTCTATGCGCGGAGGAGCGTGGTAATATCAGGCCGTTATTGGCCGAGTTTGGCGCCTTTTGGGCAGAAACGGGTCTGAACGATGATGACGTCGAGGTCTGTTGTGGGTTTGAAGAAACTGAAGAGGACGAAGTTGAAGAGTCCTCCTTGTTTGTGATGGATTTAGCACTTGGCATGGATGACAAGGGCTAAATGTAGAAATAAATAATAGATATAGAGATGAACAAGCTTTCTTGCCTAATACATAATAAAGAGGGGACGGGAAGGGAAGTTTGTAAATCCTACATACTGGCAAAGGACTTAAAAAGTGGTTAGATTTTGTACGTTTGAATTGTGGGTTCATCCAAAGAAGAAAATGAAAGCAAACTGGGCATGAACTTAGGAAGAAGGAGAAAGACGACTGCATGGGAGCTATGGAGGCTCAAACACCTCGCGGAGAAGGACGATTTAAAAAAAAAGTACAAAGGAAGGAAGGGTGAACCACAATGACTGAAGCCAGGAGCACAGCACTAGACAGGGTTGGCTTGGATATAACTCATTTCTACTACCTTTGGTCCTTTGCTCATCGGACGGTTGCCAGATTTGTCGAATGTTATATTTTCATCACATTCACACTGCTCTAATAAATCGAGGATTTCTTCTTCCTGCAAATCATTTAAGTTATGTAGCGTTATTCAAACAGCGATGGTACTATAATCGGCCTTTTTTTAATTGTCAAAATAAACTTCAAATTGACCGACGTCTTTAAATTATTATATGCATGATGTAACCCCATTATAAAGATCATCCTGTCATGACGAAGACATTAGAGTTTCTTGGGAAAAAAAAGCCTAGTGATTTTCGCAGTAATAACCTCAGTAAACGGACTAAGTTGTTAATCGACGTTAACCAGCTGTAGTGGTATAACAGGATACCATTTTCGTACAACAGACATAAAGAATCTCCGCTCTAATGAGACTGATCTCGAAAACAGGTCGTGCTCACTCCACAAATTTTGCATTCGAGATCGAAGGAGAAGCCCAGCTAAACTTAATTGATATTACAGGAATACGCTGACCAACAACTGCCTCACACCTACCCTGAGGGTGCTGAATGGTTGATTACCGTCCTTTTGAAGAGATACAGCTCTACCTAAATGTAAAATCACTCAATTAGAAAAACAAACAAATCAAATAAAAGAGTTATAAACATTAACTTCATTGTCTTCCTGGTTACATCGAGGGAAGTGGAATAAAACAGGATACCGAGGTAGGAAAAATGCCTCCCACGCAAGAGCGTCGAAGGGAAAGAGATAAAGAAATTGGATCAAAACTTTTACAAGAAGAAAGAAAAGGAAATTATTTTCTCAGCGTAAATTTTATTATACCTGACAAGAAGAGCTTGAAAGCGTCTGCTAAAAGCCCGTTATACTTTTCTCGTCTTGTTTTGTCTTCAGGAGGATATATCCTTCGGAAATTTCCCTATATTATAAAGAAAAAAGAGAGCAAAAGTTTCATAAATAGAAAATGGAAAGAAATAATGGTAAAAAGAAAGGAGAGAAGCAAGAAAAGAATATAGGAATACAATGTGCAATATTTCCGTGTAAGCCCGCATTACTAATCAACGTGAAAATATGGAGTCTACTGAAAACAGAAACAAGTGCGAGTTTCTTTTCCGAATAAGTAAAATTACTTCGGCTAAACTTTTTCTTTTCACGCGCACAAACACACAGGAAGAACACGCGATATGAAGGTCAATATACTGATGGCACTGGATAAACCCACTATTTCTGCAAAAAAAAACTTTCTTACTAAAATAATATTTTGACAACAAACAAGTATGTGCCCACTTGTAAATGAAAATACTGTTTGGCGGGTACTTAGTACAGCTTCAAATTCGACTTGGTTTTTCGCGCTTGACATTATCGTGTGTTTTTTGGTGGACTTTTATTGATGAGAACACTTTGTGATAACTATTGTATGAAACGAATTTCATAAACGGGAAATACTGGACGTATTTGCCCTACTCACCATGTTCATGTTCTCAAACTCTTCTCTTGCCGTCTCTCTCCTTAATTGATTTAGTCTCTCTTTCTGTAGTAAAAATAATGGTGTATTGTTTTCTTTCATATTCAAATCAAAGATAAATCATCTGAAGAGTGGCAAGAACTTACAAGTTCCGTTCGACGTTTGTTTAAAATCATCTTCTTCTTTTCCAGTTCCTAAGAAAGGAGAAATTATTATACAGTGCAAATAGTGGCCATAAAAATTCAATCACATGAATTTTCGGTACAATCTCTTGGCTAATAACACCATATTAACCCTTTAACTCCTAAGAGTGACTCGCATCTAATTTCTCCCCAAAATATTACCCATGAAACACACATTCAGGTCAGGAGAATATAGGAAATGATCACCAACTAAAGAAGTTCTTGATTGTTAAACAACTTCTCCTTGTCAGCACCTTAGGAAATGTATAGAGAACAGTGTGGAGAATATGTAAACTGATGTTAGGGTGTAAAGGGTTGATAAAACCTTACCGACATGGAGTACTCATTCCTTTTTGGCTGTGTTAAGAGTCTTTTCTGTGCTTCTGCTTTTTCAGCCGCCATGCCACGACGTTTGTCACTGACCCTAAAATATTTTTAAAAATACGACAATTTTCTTTCTTTTCTCTACATTTAAACTGGAAGAACTGAGCAGTTCCCCAAATCAGTCATGGCACTGAATAAATTATTCATTCAGTGTGGTTCTTAATGAATCCACCCACTCCTCCCACAGAATAGCAGTCGAATCCAAGACCATCCCCAGCAAAAAAAAAAAAAATAATAGAATCGAGGTGCGGCTCTACCAACTGAGCCATCACGAGTAAAGTTTTGCTAATCATGATTAGATTTAACCAAACTCATCATAAAGCGCAGACTTCAATACATAACAGAACATCAATCATGTCCTTGTTAAGAAATACTGCACCTGATGTTAAGCAAATTCAGTGCATCAGTTAACACTCCTCCTTTAATTTCACTATCAAGTTTGGTGTCAGTACCGAAACTGGGTGATCGATTCACCTGTAAAATTCAGAAAAGAAAGAACAAGTCAAAATAATTATCTTGAAGTAAATTTCCTTCTACCCTATCGAAACTTACTAGATGTAGCTACAGACTAGATTCTCAGGTGGAAATTTTGAAAACCTTTCCCCTGCTAAAATATTAGGGTTTTATGTAAGCTGGGAAAATTCTCAAAATAAACATTAACTTAATTTGACTTCATATTACACATTCCCATGTAGAACAAAGGGTAGCAAAATAAAGATCGTTTTTCAAAACCAAATAATCCTAAAATTCTAAACACATTCTACAAAAGAGAATCTTAAAATAGAGCAAAAAATGAAAGAGTCTGGAAACAAGCCTGTACGTCAAGAATTCGTAGTTGCCGCGAACTTTTTACCTTATGCAAATTTTCCTTTCTCGGAAAAGGAAAACAACAAAAACAACAGATTCGTAAGGTAAGAAAAGTAACAAATTAACTTCCGTGGAATTTGGGTCAATTTCTTAATGGGCCATAGGAAGGAAAAAAAAAAGTGCAATTTTGTGAGGTTTTCCTTGAGAGGGACCTTCTGCAAAATGGCGGCTGTGGTTTCTACTTCACAAAATGTAGAGATGCCTGTATAATTTGAACTTTTCTTGTTCCAAAATTGATATTCCTCCAAATAATAACACAGATGTTTTTAGGGGAAAACATATAAAGAAAACAAGAATTGAGTGAACTTGACTTAAAAATCGTTTCAAACGTTTGGTGAGTATGTATAAGACTACCTGGCGAGCAGAGTCTCCTTTCTTTCGTTCATGGAGACATTACAGAGCATGAAAATCAAATTCAAACGACGAAAACTGATCTGTATATAAACACAGCTTCTGCACGTGTGATAGTGAAAGGATATGTGTTCACTTACTTCTAAAAGCCACGGGCGAAGTTTTCGATCCAACAAAATATCAAAACCTAAAACCTCAAAACAAACACTCTCACTTCCAGGAGGTGCACCAGGTCGGCACATTCGGTAAGAGTGCAAAATATGAGGCTGGGCAACTATTAATGTCTTTACCAGTACATCCTGAAAAAACCAAAACAAAAACAAACAGTAACTACCAAGACTAAGCAACTTAAAAAAACACCCACTACATATAGAATATTCTATGTGGAATAGAATATTCCATATAGAGAACATGAATCTATGAGAACACATAGCTTATCAAAAGGTCACACTCATTCCACAGCCATCCTATGAAAACCTCAAATGTAATTTTATCTTCCAATACTGTAACTATTCTTTCCATCAATGTTTTGTTTGGGTTTTTTTTTCGTGGGGAATGGTTTGATCACATGTATCAGAACATAGACTGTGCCTGACTCTTGGTCATTTTCAAGCTACATGTATTTTCCTGACAACCCCAGCCACCAGTTTTTTCTAGCATACTTTTCTGCTTGTCTACATCGACTGACTGAAAGCCCTGAATAAAATACCTGGAGCAAGAAATTTTACCCTTCAACAGAATGAACTTACTGTTATGTTGTGCCAAAGAAAGTTTACATCATAGTCCATGGACTGAAGCCAGTCATTCAAAAACTTTATAGATCTTAAAATAGAAATTGAAAAAGTTTCATCAATAAAGTAACATAGCCATAGAATAATCATAAATGTTTTTGACAGTTCTTTCAAATTAAATGGAAATATCTATAAAACTACTCTTGTAAACAAAATTGTGCACAAAGCCAAACTAGAAATAAATGCAGGAAAAACTGATATATTCAGTACCTTTTACTTCCACTGTCATCACTGTCATCTTGGTCAAAGTTCTCATTGTGTTTATTTATTGAATAATTAGTTAAATGCATAAAAAGCTCATCCTAAAAGACAAATAAAAACCCAGATCAATACAAGTGTAGAACTTTATAGACATGTAGATACTGTATTTATTTGACACTCTGGTAAGCACCCTTCCTCAAATAAGCACCCACCCCACAGGTCACAATGTCAGACAAGTGCTCCCCTCAAATAAGCTTCCCCTCTCCCTTACTCACTTAAATAGTAGGGATGACTTTTTAAACTTCAACTACAGCTGAATCAGTACAGGTTAACAGTTTGTTAATGAGCAACCCCCTTGACTGAACACCCTCCTTAAGTGTGTGGGCACTTGTTCAAGGAAATACTGGAAATCAATTGCATTATGACTCAGATATTTAATATAATATAAGTAAACGTTTCACAAGATACATGTACATGTACAAATTAAGATAATTGGATTTAGTTAACATAACTAATACAAAGGTATCCTTCCAGTATAAAAAGATGACTATGGGTGATTTTCACTTGCATTTAAAAGCATTCTTACCAGGTTTTCATCTGAAGGGCTTTCATACACTTCAGTTCCCATGCGAACCTACAAACACAATCACACTGAGGTGATTCCAGGTTTATCAACAAAAATTAATTATTTAGTGATATTTTAAGATATCCTGTTCCTGGGGTTCAGGTAGAATACATGCTGCCTGGCAAAAAATGGATCATAAAAGAGTCAAGTGGAAAAGAAAGGAGGTTTCAGGCACATTTATCATTACATTTACAATACAATAGATTGGTATTTATATAACAAAGAAAGGAAGGTGTGTTTGGAATGTAAAGCTTTTCCTTTTTTCATGAATTATGTTTATGGCAGTGCTACAACAGTGTTCAATGATAACATAAACTATAATTACTTACAAGTCCATCATGATACAAAAATATCCTCAGTGGATCACATGATGTAACCAAAACATATACTCTAAGATCAAACTTGAATCCCTCGAGGAGAAAAGGCTATAAATGCAAACCAATGAATTCATTAGTACAAAAGCAACAAAAACTTTCATGAACAAAATTAAAAAGTTATAATATACATGTTCAATTCATTCAAGTGTCTAATTTACTTAATGCAACAAGGGTGGGTTGTTCAAAGCGTGGTTAAGATAACCCAAGGTAAATGTGAGATATAATTCCAGATTTATAAGCTTACTCTGAAAAAAATTCTAAAAATTATTTTGGTCAAAAATTTAATTAATGGATGCTCTAAAAAAAAAATTATCATGAAAAAAACTCTTGTACAAAGGAATAAACCCCTAATTGAAATTTAACCTTGGGTCAATGCTGATCAGCCTTTGAACACCTGGATCTGGAATTATTATTGCAATTAAAATAAAACTTCTATTAAGCAGACCCCCAATTAAAACTTTCTATTAAGCAGACCCTGAGTCAGGTTCCAAAATTGATTAATGTCTTATATTTCCCTTTATAACGAGTCCCATTTCAGCAGTCAATGCAGGCACTAAAATAAATTGTCTTTCTATTGTTAAAAACTGCTATTAAGTGGACACCAGATTAAACTGATAATGTCATGTAAGGGATTACATCCTTGAAATAGTCGATTAAATGTAATCAATCCTCATGATGATGTAGCTGTCAATAAACTATCTAATAGACAGATATCATACCAACAAATTAAAGTTGGTAATGAAAGGTAATGCTCTTAAACTCTGGATAGCTACATTAAGGACATGGAACTTTATCACAGAGTAACCGTTGAATGTTTATCATTACCGAACATTGACAATTTTAACAAACCCCTATTAAGGGTACACCCTCTATCAAACAGACACTTGGGAAGGTCCCGAGGATGTCTGCTTAACTGAGGTTTCACTGTACTATCATAATAGTACATGTAATGTTTGTAAACATCCTTACTTTGTCAAGATATTCCTGGACCACAATCTGCTCATGAGATGGGATTCTATCTCCATTTCGTACCAGAGATATCCTAAAATTAGGACACAGCTGTATGTATTAATCATCAGACTCATTATTAAGGTACCAAATGAAAACTAGTAACATAGTTATGTGTTGTAATAAAATATTCAATTTTCACTTAGACAGAAGCAAAAGAAAGCTTTACATATCTGTACATGTTATAGAAAGCTTCACCTGCCCCTCATTGACTGAAATATTTCAGGACAGCACAACAACCATGGAATAACAAATTGGCTCAAGATTATAAGTAGAGAGAGATGTTTTTTTTTTAATCATTGTCAAAAGAAAAAATTCTGAGTCTCCATGAGGGACTTAAAATTTTTGAGACTCAGAAGTTTTTCTTTGTCTCATGCTCATGACAAGACAAAAAAACATCTTTCCCTACTTCTTTACTGAGCTCAAAACTTGCCATCTCTCTTGTTCTATTAACAAGTTAGAGCATAGGGCCCAGTTGTTTCAAGGCTGATTAACGCTAACCCAGCCAGCCTGGGGTTAAATTTTAATCTGAGTTTTTTATTCCCTTGTAAAATTGTATCAAATTAAGCTTTTTTTCCACACAATTTTCTATATTCTTTTTAGAGCATTAAATCATCAAATTGCAGCAGAGAGAATTATCGTAATACTGAATTTTCTTTTGAAGCTAGCTTTCAGATCTTTAATAAGATTTCACACTAACCCAGGGTTTAATCTTAAACTAGTTGTAATTACAACCTGTCCTGGTACTTTTACTGATATTTTTGAGCACTGTATGTTGCAAGTTGAGGAAAAACTGAAACATTTAGATTTGATTAATAATGAATATATTAAAAAGGATGGTAAAAATTTAAAATTTAAAATTTTTTGTCAAACTTACCCATTTCCCATGGCTCCATTTGCTGGTTTGACAATGAAAGTTTTGTGTTTCTTTCTTTTTTTTAGTTCTCTACAATAGCCTTGAAATGCAGCATATCTGATACAGTGAAAATGGGCAGTTAGCTAAGGAAAGTACTCCACTTTGACGTAATTATATACATTGATGTGGTCATATAAGGAAAAAAAATCATGTTGCTTTTTTTTTTATCCCTCTTACTAATTGCCATTATTACTATTTTTTAATTATACCATCTAATAGTCAACCTGTACAAATACACATACTGTAACAGTTGTGATCTGTAGAGAGTACATACCTGGATCAATCTGTGCAGTTATGTTCGTTCGATGTTCGTAGTTTTATAATATCATACATTAATTATTTCAATTTTTAATAAAATTACCATAAAACTGGTTAATTTTGACTTCCATCTATTCCACAGGCCTTGAGTTAATCCGTTTATTAATTACTGTTAAATTTGACCCTCCTTAAAAAAAAGGCCACTATTATAATTATAATTACCACTACTACAGTGCTACATCAACCATAATCCCTGGCTAGTAGTCTCTGGATACAATTTACTGTTAGCTTGGATCATGAACATTGCATGATTCCAAAGTTTCTATCAATACTTGCTACTCAATTCATAGTGGAGTACAGTATAATGCTGATTATGCAGTCACCACAGCTACATGTATATAAAATATCAAATTGCATAAATCCTCCAATAGATAAGTTGATAAAGGATACTCTGCAGGGAGAACCCAGGTTTGAGGAACAAAACTGTATTCCTCTGGGTGAGCTCTTTGCATTCTGAAATTTCAAGATAGAATGTTAAAAT